ACTGTCTAAGGACTAGTGTCTAGGGAGTTCGTGAAGGTATAAATGAGCGAAGGTTGTGCAAGTGAAGGGCATCTTGAACCGGCTCTGTACAATAAACAGATCCAAATATGTTGGGGTGTATTAGGGGCCACTAAGGGTAATAAGCAGACTGCAACAAAAAGGAAGTGTCCAAAAACTCGGATTCCTCACACATGCTTGGCATGATGAGGGGAGCCCAACCTAGACCTAGAATCTCATGAGTTCGAGGGCCGCTTTCAAGCGCAATAAACTCAAAATATACCCACTACTTGGAGGGTCAGGGGACTTAGTAAGTAGGTTAATAATGGGGATAACTAGGGTTACTATATGGGGTATGGGGGTTATTAACCTACTTACTAAGTCCCCCCTCACCCTCCAAGTACAGCTTTCCAACGGAGGGCAAGCAAGTGTCTTAGAAAGCATTCAAGGCCTTACCTTACAGGTCTACACCACCAGCCGGCGAAGCTAATTTCACTTCCAAGCAGGTCACCCTAAACCGAATCCCGAAGCCCTGAACCTTTAAAAGCCAAAACCCCGACCCCTAGCCTCCATGACCGGCCATCACCGCCTCGCGGATGATGGCTTCTTCTGCCTTGAGACAATAACGTAGAGGTTTAGGAAGTTTAGTAGTTGTGGTAATTGTTTCGGTGTAAGTTCTACAGCGAATATTTCCACAGATGCAAACAAATACTGCGGTGGATGGAGGTTTTGCAATGTAACGTACTTCCTGGGCCGGTGCAAGTTTTCCTCCACTGCAGGACCCTTCGTACAATGACTACAAGGGAAGAGCTTATTGACGGGTAGTCCAGGCTACAGGCTCAGTATCTGGAAACTCATGTTGGGACTCTATTTTGGGGTGTAGTAAAGGACTGCAGTTCTGGGAAATACCCCCTAGGGGTTCTAAAAAACTCTTCAAAGGCGGTGGAAAAAATCTAGGGAGTCCAAGGGCGATGGTGCAATGCAAATACTTCAGAATCTGTCGACAAGCCTCTGCTAGGGCGACATAAGTGCAATCGTTTTCACACACGCAGGCTCGTTCAGTCTGCAGTGATCAGGCCTGTGGCGAGGAAAGCTGCTCAAGTGGAACAGCTCTAGGTCAATCCGCAAGAAGCTGTGAGAAGCGGTGGGCGGGAGTGTAAGACATGGGCCTTTGGTGGCCTTAGGGGTATACTGGGATGGCAACACGATTCTGGGGGATCTTGGCACAGGGATATGGGCGTGCTTGGAGAAAGTCCTCCACAGAGCAGAGGCCTTGCCAGGATGTAAGGGCTCTGAGCAGTACCTCACTTATGGCTGCATGAGAAACAGTGGCAGATCGCAACAAATGCCCCAGGCAGTAGTGCTGATAGTCATACTGAGATGTGATACGAAGCTCATGACAAATACTCCCATGTCAGTATGGCCAGAAAAGCCTTAGTGAGCGCGATACTTGCAGCATCACAATGATTGCAACTGCGACCGGAAACTGCTGATACCATCATCTGTTTTTTGGTCCTACACCATGCTGTTTGCCTTTTTGCGTTTTGAAGCCCGGCCTCCTGGAAGCGCACGGCATCCGTGAGATCGCTCAAGAATTCCAGCCGCTTCTCCTTCGCCCGGACCTGTTTCGGGTTGAGGAAGATGAACCAGCTTCTTCTACTATAGTGGGGTTTATATTGGGGTTTTATAGAGATAATGGAAAAGAAAATGGAAGCCATAGTATAATTGGGTATATATTGGGGTTGTATTGGGATTGGACACCTAATATTTACACTGACCAATGTCTTACGGAACCTTATATACACTCACAACAAACTCTGGTAAAAAAAATATACGTATTTAATATGTTTTGGACAGTCCGGCCAGATGCGGGGATTGATGCCGGGAACATGATTACCAATCCAAAAAGTTTCCTCTCTCCGTGATCTCTGCAACAGTGTCTGGGGATTTAAAGGTTTAGGGGTTAGGGCTCAGGTTTTAAGGGTTCAGGGGTTTAGGGTTCCGGCTTTAGGGGTTTAGGTTTTGTGCAGGTTCCTCACCCCAGCGCCTGGGCCAAGAGTTCTTAAGTCCAAATTTCAAGACCTTAGTCTTTAGTCCCATTCTGAATATGCGCCAAACCCTCTCAGGCAGCAACCCATGCATCATTGTACACGGGAATGATCTTGCTGAACCTGCCGATCTGCAGAAAGCCAACATGGACACTTCCGGGGTCTTTCTTCATGGTGCTACAGGATTCTGGCGACACAGTCTGGAGCCTGTCTTTTGCACTGATTACCTCAATAAGGGAGAATCAAAATGGAAATGGAAAATTAAATGGAAACTTAGGTCCCTTGAAAGGTGTTATATTAATTATATAGGATTCTATCAGCAGCCCAAACTGAACTTCCATGGCAAGATGAGATGCCGGCGTCCACTCCTGCGGGAGGTCGCAGAGCAACACCGGCGCCCCCGCCTGGTAAAATCAAGCATGTTAGCAGATCTCTGCCCCTCAAGCCCGCATAAGATGGATAGTGTAGGATTTCGGGCTTAGGGTTTAAGTTTCAAGAACTGCGCCTCTGAGTGCTGGAATTTAAGTGACACTTATGATGACAGCGTAGCTGAAGATGGCCCCGCCCCTCTACACGCAGGGTGCCAAAAGTGCAACCTGCAACTCTCCACCCTCCTAGACACTTAGGCTGGAGGTTTTGTGTCACATAGAAAGGGGGGACCCAACGATGACAGATAGGATTCCTTGACACGCTCGTGTTAGAAGCTACTCGAGAAGTGCAGTAGGCCTGCATGACGACCTCGCCCTTTCATACAGAACATGCCAGCCTTCCTAACATTATATCTGTCCACCGTTGCATGTGGATTACCTTTCGGAATCTTCAATTTTGGGCTGTGGGGGAGGGGGTGTTTGATATTTGGGGAGGGGGTTGTTCCCTAGACCTTAACCCTGAATAGCGTGGTAGTTTCTAGTTCCTTTTCCGCTCATGTTATTCTCTTGCTTATACAAGCAAATGATCCTCCTGTAGCCCCCACAGAATCTCATCCCAATTTGGGTTCCATTTCCGCTTTCAACGTCATTCTCCATGTGATTATCCATTATTGGAGTAGAATCCCCCGACAACCCTCAGATAATCGTATATGCGCAATTGTCTAAACTCCTAGTGTCCCCCTTCATACCCCCTATAATGGTCCCCCACATAATCCCCTACATAACCTCCTTTCAGGAGTTTAAACTACAACTCATATAACGCCTACATATCACGAATAATATGATAACTTCCACAGTCTGTTCCATTCCCAATCCTAAACCCTAAACCCTACACCCCCTAAAACCCTAAAACCTTAACCCCTAACACCCTAAACCCGCTAAAACCCTAAACCCCCTAAACGCAAAACCCGCTAAAACCCTAAACCCCTTAAACCCTAAACCGTCAACCGTGTGAAGAGCCAGCCTTGAAAGCGGCTCGAACCGCAGCCCCTGCATCTCGGCCTTGGCGGCAGCCACGCGGTTTAGGGTTTCGGGGGTTTAGGGGGTTCAGCGTGTTCGGGTTTTAAGGTCTTAGGGAGTTTGGGGTTTTAGGGTTTCAGGGGGTTTAGGGGGGTTTAGGGTTTTAGCGGGTTTAGGGGTTTGGGGAGTTAGGGTTTAGGGTTTACATGGGGGAATGGAAAGGAAAATGGAAACTACATATTATTTGTGGGGCTGATGCTGACGGGCTAATTAACAACGATTCTGCAAGGATTGTGCAGGAAGCAGGTTGGCAGGGACATTTACTTGTTTACCTCTGGGGCACGACATGATTTGAACCGCGGCGGGCCATACTAGTAGTGCATAGTAGAGAGCTTTGCCAATTCTTTCCACAGCCACGTGGCTTGAGATTCGAGCCCCCGCGACCTCATACATTCAGAGCGGCTCATGAGGGGCAATACTGACTGCACTCATAATTTAGTCATGGGGATCATTCCCATCAGAGGCAAGAGGCTCTTTTTAACTCATAAAACATCTGGGCACGATCCAACATCTAAACGCCACAGGCCTGCAAATGGCAGTCTCAACGAAAGCATTCCTCGCAAAGAGGCCTCCTGAAAGAGAGCCACAACAAAACGTGCATCGCACGAGGAGCCTCCTACTGTAAGCCCCTGGCCTCTTGGGGGTTTCCCAAAATTAGGGGTACCATTTTGGGGTCCCAATAATAAGGATTGTAATATTTTGGGGTCTATATTGGGGTCCCCTTGTTTTGGGAAACTACCACTTACCTTCAGAAATGCTTTCCCTCGAGTCTACCTTCCGCAGGCTCTGGGAAAGGCACCCCAGTCACTGTTGGCCTTCGCGCAGTTTGTGCTTTAGGGCCCATGCTGTAGGGCTTCTGGTATTGGCTTCGGGGGCTCGGGGTTTTAGGTTTAGGGTCTGGAGCTTAGTTGGATGGCAACCAGTCTCATCCCGCTGCCTTCGCATGCAAGGCCTAATTCACGCGCAAGGTCATGGATCCACAGAAGAATGCCTATCTACAGACTTGAAGTTTGCCTCTGCTCGAAGCTCATCCAACGCAAAGACCTCATGACAGGATTGATTTGCCCAAAGAAACTTCGCCGGAGAAGGCCTGCCAGGCCTTGCACCACTCTGTATAAAGGAATCTTAGCAGCAGCAGCAGCAAAGGCAGCAGCAGCAAAGGCAAAGGCAAAGGCAAGGCTCGCGGAACGGTGCCAGATCTGACCAGCAGATTGTGAATTTGAAGCTTTTAAGCAGAAACCTCCATATGCATGCTCACATATCGCAGTGCGTGCGGGTTCCTTCTGACAGCAGCTTTCGAAAGGATCTCTGATAGGGTCGCGGCATTCATGGCCTCAGATGCTAAGCCATCAGTCTAAACCACGGCTTGGGCAAGAACAAGCCGATCTTCTGGGTTGCTGTCAAGGGACTTAAACTAAGTTGCCAAAATGGGTATACATAGTAACTCATACGGTTTCCTCAATATAGTAACCTAAACTAAGTTCCTTAACAGCAACCCAGTCTTCTGTCAAGTCACCAAGCACTTCTCAGTACTCTTTGTGAAGATCAGCTTCATGGCACGAATGTAGTCCTTGACCTGTCACTGACCCAAGGCCGTCTGAACCCATCAGCACCATGGCAGAGTGGCTCAGCTTCGAACAGACATGCGGGATTTGCCAACTTTTGCCTTGGTGCGCGAAAGGCATGGGACGTGAAACCAGACACGCATTGAAGGATTTGACTGGAGTTGCGGCCCCGTATACCCTACATATACTATGTGTATATATGTATATATACATATAACCCTACATAAATAACCCTTAAGGGCCCCTAGAATCCCTCCAAAGATTGATGCCAGGCAGCTCGGATGCGGTCAATCAGGGCTTCATCTAAGCTCAGCCTTGCAAAAGATCATAATTTAGGGTTTAAGGGTTTAGGGTTTAAAGTCGGCTCAAAGGCTTCCCCTAATCCAGGGCCCTTGCAAATGGAGTATTGTTTGGGAAATAGTCTACTACAAGCAAGTATAAGGGTTATGAGTTATGCGAGATTAGTATTGCTAATAATTCGAGCTTCAAGGTTAAAGTGCACATCGCATCTTTTTCGGGCCACTGCAACTGGAAACCAAAAGGGCCAAAGGAACTTGTTGGGCCCAAACATCCCTCTGAAGCTAAAGCAGGTAACTCCAATCCACACCCCAACAAGGGCACTTATGTACAACTTCCAGCGAAATGTACGAACCGTTGTCAAGACTTTGGAGACACCACTCACGAGGTGCTGACTGTGGGCCGGAATCGAAGAGGCCAAAGGCCTCACACTCCAGGGGTCTTCCCCAGTGACTGGCACCCCACTTGCAAAAATGAAGAATACCACGCAGCGCACGCTTCCCGAACAAGCAAGGCACAACAAAACACACTCTCAAGAGGCCATAGGTCTGCATCTGATGTGATCCTCGTTGTGAGCCCTCAACAGACACTTCAGTGCGATTGAAAGTCGCTGGATGCTCGTGAAAGAATGTTCTGCGTTCCCTTCGCCTGCCTGGCAAGTGGCGCCTAAATACAAACCGCACTGCAGTCAGGCATTACGATCGTAGTCTGTCGGGTGGTTCGACTACTACCTAGCACATGATCAAGCTAAATTTTGAAATTTGTCCTGAAAGCCAATATCTTCGCACCCAAATGAAACAACTAGCGTATAGCGTTGAAGCAGCGATGCCTCCTCTTCCAAGACCCCGCGCATGATTGCGTGATATACAATGCGGGGGGTTACCGAACTTAGGATTTTTTAGGGGGGAGGCCCTATGAGCTAGCGAGGGTCATTTCCCAGTTCATGACATACGCCCTCGCCTATACCTCATACCCAAAACTTTTACCCAAACTTATATCATAACCCAAATCATAACCGATAACTAAATCCATAACCTTATGATACATAATTACCCTAAATCATAGCAACCACCTAAACCCATTACCTTATCCATATCCTAAACTTGAACTGGGAAATGACCCCCCTAATAGAAAACCCCCAAAAGGTTATAACCCTGAACTGGGGGATGTCCTCTACATAGAATTTTCCTAAAATTAACAAGTAAAATGCTATTTGACCATCAGCAATGCCAAGTATTATAATATTTTCTCGGTGCTTCTATTATGCTAAAGTCTACTTGTTCCAACCGTTCTTTACTACAAACATACCGTGTTCCTTGCTTTTGTATTTGTAACCAATGACATTTTCGTAGTTTTTTATGCCACGTGAATTTAGGCGTATATACATATGGTTCGTTTAAATGAGTTCGTCCGTCTTGGGCTTGTTCCATAAATTTTAGTATTGCTTGTTTGATTGGCACATAATTCTTCGTTTCTATTTGTTCAAGTTGAAATATGTGATTTGCAGTTGTTAATAACAGTCTGTCGTATTGTGTTTTAAAATGTTCTTCTTGTTCTTCTGGTTCTTCTTGCTTTTCTCCACATGCAGTTAAGAACTCATTAACAATTTCCTCCTGTTCCTCATAACTAAACATATTATATAAGTATTATACATAATGTTTCTTTAAATGGTTTTTGTAAAACACATAATTAATTTTATATGCTCTCTCTTGGTCGTCAAACTTAATCTCAATTTCCTTGTTATTCAATTTATTAACATAAACATTTCTCTTATACTTATACACATCACTATCTTCATCCATTGGTTTATTAGCTGGTTTAGGTTTAGATAATAATTCGTTAGTCTTTTTCTCAATGAGTTCTAACTT